CCCGGTTCCCGCTCCATCCCTTACCCGAGCAACTTTCTTTCCGGGGGCCCCAAGCGCCAGGTCCCGCCCTGATCGGAGGCGACTGAGCCTCGGGTCCACTCTCTCTGGGGGTGCGGGCGGATCCGGGCGGAGCTGGCGGCGCGGGTCCACGGCGGTCCCCCAGCCCCCTCCCCACTCACTCACAGTCCCCACCCACCCGTCCCGCCGCGTCCTCAGCCGATGCTCCGCCCGATTTGGGCGCCCAGAAAGCAGGCGAGGAGATGTGGGGGGGCGCCGCGGGGTCTGGGGAAGAAGGGTACCCCGGGACCGCGGGCGGAGGGAGAGGGGTTGCCGAGCCCACCTTGCTCGCCAGTTCTTTGCTCCGGTCGATCCGCGCTCGCGTGAGGGATTCGATCCGAGACATAATCCGAATAGGGGAGCCCGGGAGGACGCGGCGTGGACCCAGGCGTCCAGCTATTGTACGGGGAGGGCGGGGGAGGGTCCGCCCCGCGCGCGTAGGTCTCAGGGACAGGAAGTCTGACTCCCCTCGCCCGGCACCCAGAGCCAGTTCCTCAAACCCTAGTCTCCACCCCCGCCGGGGCTCAGGAAGGGGGGAGGCGGGGCGGAGGGAGGGAGGGTTACCGCGCGGGACAGGACGCGCGGGGCTGCGGAGGGGCACCCCTGGGAGCTCTGGGGTCCCAGGACGAGTGGGAGGGGCCGGCAGTCAGACACGCTTCCTGCACCCGGGGCGGCTCTCTAGCCCCAGAGCGGCGCACAGCGCGCGGGTCTGGCCGCTCCACCCCGCCCAGCCCAACCCCGAGGACCTCGCCCCACCCAGGTCTGGCCTCTCCCCTCCCCCTCCGCGGTACTTGAGTCTTTAAATTAAAGACCCGCGGGCAGGACTGTCCATCCGCCCCCCAGCTCTCCAGGGAGTCCGGGACTAGTTCCTTACTGATCTTGGGGGCCCATTAAAGCCAGCCAGAGCCTACAGACCCTTTTTATGATTGGGGGCAGGGGTGAGGGGAGGGAGGGGAAATCAAAGAGGAACTAAAGGCTGAGTCCTGAGAAGGCGTGAAAGATTCGCCCCAGAGGTCTAAGATTTCGAGGCCCAGAGGAGAGCACTGTCCATCAAGCCCCCATTCCTCCGCGGCCTTCCGGACCACACTCTGCCCATCCCCCCTCTGCCGCCCCACCTCTACCAAATGGGGCTGGAGGGGAGGAGGGCTCATCACTTTTCCTGAGGACTCGGAGCTGAGGAAATCCTTCCTAGAGGCTAACCCAGTTCTCTGGTTCCAATAAGGACAGAACCAAAAGACCAGACCAGAAACCAGCTTGCTCGGGTTATAGGGAGCAGTTGGGGTTAAGGGCAGTCTCTTTGTAAGAAAGAGGGTGAGGTGAGGCATTTGCTTTCTGGGCCCTTTGCCCCAGCCTGGGCCAACCTCCATCTTCCTGAGTTTCCTGCTCTTGGGAAAATTCCTACTCCCACTCTTAACTATAATCACACTGCAGTTCCTCTCTGCCTCAGGATCTCCTGTTTCCCTAGAGAAGCACAGTGGGCCCGGTGACATGGTATCCTGAGTTTGCAGGGTCCTGCCTGATTGGGGTCCTAAGAGGTGTTGGGGGAAAGAGGGAGGGAGAGCAGGCCCAACCCATATCCAGGGGCTCCCAGCCCTGGCTCTGCTGCAAGGCCAAGCTGCAGGTTTCAAGCCCAACTCAGCACTCCTGTAGGTGCCAATTTTAGCCTCTGCCACTATTTCGGGCTCCACAGTCTCACCACTGGCTGAGCTGGTTGGGCTCCTCACCCCCAGCACCACTCCCACACTGCTCCTCTGGCACCCCCACCCCCCTGCCTAGCAGCTCCTTCACCTCCATCACCCAATACCCTGTTTAGGATCCTTTTATAGCAAAGGCCAGAAAAAGGGAGAGGAAATACCTGTGCCCCTTCTCAGATGCATAGAAATTAGAAAGCAGAAAGGACTTTTGCAGGGCCTGAGGAGGCTGTTTCCTTCAGGCTTGCACCTGTAGGGGACACCCCTGGGGAGGCCCTAGGAATTCTCCCAAACCAGCAATCCATGGGCTTCCAGGCCCAGGACCCCAACTTACCTCTCCTGAGTGGACAGCCAAAGCGGAGGAATGTTCTAAATTTAAAAACAGATAGCCAGAAGCCAGAACCCTGACCTCATGGCTCCACCCACTGGGGGCCTAGAGAAAAGGGGTGTGCTGGGACCTCAGCTTTTCTCCCAGGCCTGGGGTGGGAGGACACCAAAAGTTAAAGTCAGAATCTTAAAGGGCCACACTCCAGTCTGAGACCCTATAAACATGGGACCTAAAACCTAAGGGGTTTTTGAGGGAACTCTTGGTCTTTAAACCCAGCTTCAAAGAAGAGGCCCCAACTCCTCCACCCTCCCTCTCAAACCCCAATCTTTAGCTCTCTTTCCATCCCACCTGCCCTTTATTAGTTACTTGACCTGTGACTCTCTGCCCTCCCTTCTCCCAGGAGATGAAGAGTAAGGAAGGTCCTTGGGGTGAGAGAAGGAAATCATTTTACCTTTAAAAATACCTGGGCTTTTATGGAACCAGGCCTGCAACTTGAGTTAATTTTCTGTATCCTTTGGAACAGTGAACACTTTTCCTTCTCTTTGCCATTCCCTGGCCCTTCTTCCAAACCAATTTCATCCCAGCACTACTCCCCCCTCCCCATTTGTATCTAAATAATATTTTAGATAGACAAAAACAAAAGCCAACCCTAACTTGTACCAAAATCAAAAGTAGTCACCGCCTTTAGCTCATTTAATTTGACGAATGTGTTCACTACTTTAAGGATGGGGGTGGGCACAGGGAAGAGGGTGTTTGTAGAGTTTTGGCCTGAGTGGCTTGGTGGGCATGGCTAGCCACTACATTAGAACCCAAGAGCTACAGTGCCTGGGTGTGTTATGAGAGGGGGTGATAAGGCATAATCAACTCCAATGGTGAGCCTTCAGGATGTGATGGGAAGAGAGGGGATAAGCTTAGGTTTACTGAGAAAATAAGCAATATTATATCATCAGGACTCACACTGTAGCCCCACATCCTAACTGGAATCTTGGGGAAGTCTATAAAATAAGGATGAAAATAGTTATCTTTGCCAGAGTTGTTATAAGAATTAAGCGAGATGACCTCTGTGAAAGTGTTTTGGCAACCCGATAGTGCTAATCAAATAGGAAGGCGTAAACCACTCCCTTCTTCCCTTGGACTCCAATGTGCCTCTCTCCAGCCCCACCCTTAATGTTTACCTGCAAGGCCATCCTGAGCTGGGATGAAGGGGAAGAAGAGATCTAGTGAGGCAGACACACACATTCATGATGTTGGAAGGAAAATGGCCTGGCGATGAAAAAGGAAAGTGGACAAGCAGTGGCAGGGAAGTACGAAGACAGGACCAGAGAGGCTGGTGAGGACAGACCAAGTAGACATTGCCCTGACCTATTGTGTATCTTTCCTGTTGCTTGTCTGGTGTCCATAGCATCTGTCCACATTCCCCTCACCAGGAACTGTTAGGCCAAGGGTGGGCAAACAAAGACAGACCCCTGGATCTGGCTGGCCCATGGCATTCATTCCCTTTCACTGCAGAAAGAATTGGCCAGCCAATTCTTCTTCCTACCATGAACTGACGGCAACCGCCAGTGGGTGGAGGGGCTCAGGCCCAGGGTCTGGACCTCAGTTTGGGCTGGGCTCTCTAGAGCTCCTCTCCTCATGGGAGGGAGGACGCCTGTAGCCCCATTTGCCCTCCTAGTTGCCAGCTCTAAGATTCCCATCTGCGCAGCCTCACCAGACCTGCCTGCTCTCAGGCCTGTAATGAGAAGGTGCTAACAACTTGGCTTCATCTCTGCCTTCCCTGCCCACTCAGAGGAAGGGGTCCTGGCTACTAGACCAGCAGAGAAGAAAGCCCTCCAGCACTTGGGGCTGGCAGGTGCCAGCAACCTCTCTGGTGAGACTCTTTTGGCTACTTACAGTGACTATGACAGTGTCCTCACTGGACTTTCTGTGCTTAAGAGCACCGGAGTTGGAAAGTACATGTGTGCTTGGGGTGACCATGAGAGGAAAGGGAGTGTCTCATTCTACCAGTAAATGAGTAAAGTAGAAATGAATTATAGCAGCAGGGAACTCAGGTTTCATCAGAGCCTGGGGGTAGTAACAAGGAAGAGAGAGCAGTGAGCCTTCACCTCACCTTCACCTTACTGGGACTAGAATTGCACTCTTCATCTTAAGGGACCATATACTTTCTCTCCTTCTGCTCCGCCTTTGGTCTAATTTCAACTCATTCAGCTGTCCTATCTGCCCGTAAAATTAGGAGTATAAAGGCACTTTGCAGACCCTAAGACTCTATGAAGAAGTAAAAAATATTGGCTGTAAATTATCATTATTCTGTCCGTAAATTATCATTATTCTGTCCAGTGGTCAAGATTTCTGTTGCCTACCTCCTAATTATGTGAGGCCTAAAGAAAGGGAGGGCTAAGCCACTCCTCAACCTCTGAGGCTTCTGGCTCTTCTCATCCAGCTGTTCACAGCTGGCTGCTAGAGGAAAGGTGATTTACTGGGGTACAAGAAGGGAGGCTGGGAGAGATAAAATCTGTTCTCTTAAAACTGGAACCAGAGGCCTCCCTGTCGGCACAACCAATGGGTTAAAATGCAGCACTATGAAGCTATCTGCAACCACTGCAGCATAAGTTCAATCCTAGGCTAGGGAGCTGACCCACACGGTGCGGCAGACCTCTCCTGTCTCACCCGTTGTTGCTCCTCTCAGCAGTATCTCAGTAGATCAGCCTGTTCTGCTCCCCACCCTGTCGCTGGTGAATTCTCTCACCACCCCTGTACCTCTGGCCTGTACGCCAGTTCTGTATGCATAAATAAATCCTTAAAAACAAAACTGGCATCACTGCCTGAATCTATCAGATGAATCTGGAGAGGAGTAGGAAGTGGGGTGGGCTATGAAGGGAACGAGGGAAGGCAGAGGGTCCCCCCCATACCCACCCTACTCCTCCTACCTTGGCCTTTCCAGTCATTCCCCAGAAGAAGCTGAAGGTCCTTCGCAGGGAGGAGCCTGCCCAGGTACCAGAGCCCCGTTCCAGTTGGCTACAGCTGCAGAGAGAAAATGAAGAGGTGAAGAGATGGACATAAGAGTTGGGAAAGAAAAACAAGAGTGATTCTGGGAGACTGAAAGCAGGGGTTAGGGAAAGAAAGAGACTCCCCACCCACCTACCCTCCCACCTCCTAGGACTTCCCAGATGTGGGTGCTACTGTTTCCCAGGGCCACTATTTATGAGGAAAACTCCAGGCTCCTCCCAAATGAATGCAAACTCCCCCTTCCTACTTAAACTGGGTCCAATCTCCTCTCTCATGCTGCTCCCCAAAGGAAATGAGGGGAGTGCAGGCTCTCTAGGGGGGCATGTTCCCCTCACAAAACAAGAGCCTTGTGTGAGACCCTCTCTGCTGTTTGGAAAGGGCCTCTGGGCCCAAGGCCAAAAAGGACTGAATTTCCTAGGATTTCATCAGCCCCTTCCCGTGAGCTAATCCCAAACCCAGAGCCAGAAGGATGTGTCAGCTAGAGACTTTCAGGACCACAAATCAGAGTCTGGTAGCTTAAAGGGCCCATTACTAGCTCACACACCCACCGGTCTGAAGACTGACCCACTCTAATTAGACTTCAGCTGTACCAGCCAAATAAACAGGTGCTGATTTTGCATACTTATTTACATAGTTATTGAAATCTACCAGCCTCCACCCCATTCCTGAAATGTTCTCTCCTCCTAGGGCTCTACAGCCCTTGTCCAGCACTCCTAGGAGCCAGGGGTCACTAATCTGAGCCATCCACAGCTGACCCCCGGTGCTTGGCCACTGTCTCTCCCAGAGGTAGGCCCCCACTCACCTTTCTGGCCCTGACAACAGCAAGCAACTCCCACTTTCTTTTACTAACCTGATACCCTGGGTATTAACTTCAGTTTATACTTCTTGCTTCCCCTAATTTCTTCCCCATCCCATGGGGCTACCAAGAACCTTCGGAGGCTTCCCTGGCCAAAGAGAAAGGGTAAATTCTGTGCGGTTCAGAGAAGATATTTGGAGTCTTTAATCAGAAACATGAAGGGGAGCAGAGTTTTGGGGTGCAGAGCCCCTGCAAAATCCATGGCCGGGTCCTGCGGTCCCTCGGTCCCTCCCAGTCTAGGCCTTTGGCAGTGCCGAATCCCCCAAACTCACCTTCCACTGCGGTCAGCAGCAGAGAACTGTGATAAATTCCCTGCCAACACAAAAGGAGATGAGAAATGTCCAGCTAAAGCCAGACAAAGGCACCCGGGGCCTCCCCCACCCTCTCCACCTGGATCAGGTTCCCCAGCCGCAGGTGCCTGTGACGCCATTCCTGAGGGCGGGCGGTGGCTGGGGACTAGGGAGGGCGGGTCTGAACCGACTGGAGCTGAAGACTTATGAGCCCGGGGAAGAGCGGCAGTGTTTTGTGGAGAAAGGACTGAGGGCCGGATATCTCAGTTCTGTTTCTGGTGACTGGGGAGGGAGTGTGGAGGTTTCACAATGAACACCCAACGCCTCGTTGTGGGGACAGGGGGTGTTGCATATAACTGTTTTCCACCTCTGTGATGGAGAGGCTAGAGAGCACACTCTGCCCCACCACGCCCTCCTCCATTGGAAAGAGAGTCTCCGAATGCTGTGAAGTTCTGAGTTCGGATCCCTCATTTGAATAAAAGCATTTTGGGAGCTCTAAGCATTTGTGGTTATACACAACCAGGACATCTGGCTCATAAACAGCTAACTCTGAAGAGCAGTGATGAGATAAATGAGACAGGACAGAGCCACCACTGCTTTGCTCCCCGCTCTTACTCACCAGCTGGATCTGAGCAGCCAAAGAAGCAATTGATGCCACTCATGGATACAGACTTGGAAAGCATGCCAGTGGTTCGGTGGTCCAGAGGCCCAGCAGATGGATGACAGGAGGTCTGACCCTAGAATCATGCCAGGAATCCTCACCGAAGGCCATGCTCACTCACCTCCCTGCCATGCTCTTCACTGGCCCACAGCTGGCCCCTTCTTCAAGGCAATTTTGTTTCCCACTCCTCACTAGCTGGGTATCTGGAATATTCTACTAGAAACAGAGGGATATTATTCCTGCTCTTTAGCAGCCATCATTTTGCTGCTCTACAAGCCAAGCTTCCGGAACATAGAAAGTATTTTAGGGGGTTTTCCTGGGGGGCCTTGGGGTTAAGTCTCAGCACTGTCACTGCACTATGGCCCATGTTTGATCGAGGCTGCTAACCCACATGGCGCAGCAGACCTCTCCTATCTCATCCGCTGTTCCCTTCAGCATGGTATCTTAGTCAATCCACCTGTTCTGCTCTTCACTCTGTCTCTGGTGAATCTTCTCCTCATCCCTCTCACCTCTGGCCTACACCCCAGCTCTTCTATGCAAAAAAAAAAAAAAAAGAGAGAGAGAGAAAGAGAGAGCGTATTTTAGAAAAGATTTACCCTGAATAGTTTTCAGAGATGACACACTCAACCTGTAGAGTTCAGACAGCTCATGAAAGCAATGGAGGCTGTCTGGGCTTAAGGTAGTAGGGTAGAAATATTCACAAACCACACCCAACTGTTAGAAAATATTTTTTTCCCTCAACAACATATGGGATATTGTAAAACTGGCCACCTATCATGCTATAAGACAAATCATAACATATTTCAAATAATCAATATGATAGACAATAAGAAATGATCCAGAAATCCCTCTCTAGTAACCTGATAAAGAATAGGTGTTGTGGCCCTTTCCTGGTGGCACAAAGCAACAGGTTAAAGCTCAGCACTAAGAAGCTATCCCCAGGCACCGCAGCAGGAGTTCAATCCCCAGCCAGGGAGGTGACCCATGTGGTGGGGCAGGCCTCTCCTGTCTTGCCCGCTGCTCCCCTCAGCAGTGTTTCAGTTGATCTCCTTGTTCTGCTCCCTGCTCTGTCTCTGGTGACTCTTCTCATGCCCCACACCTCTGGCCTACACCCCATTTCTTGTATGGATAAATAAATTGAAAAAAATAAATAAAACAAGCAGAGTTAATTGATATGTTTAGAGAAGCATATAAAGATCACAAATCTATAAGGGAAGTTTATTTCAGAAGTCAAGGCTCCACCAGGAGAGAGGGGACTACGAATGAGAGCACACAGGGGCTCTGGATTGGGTGACACTTTCTTTGTGTAGCGGTGGCCACATAGTTGGTTGCTTCCTAGTAATTCATTAAAATTTATATACTTTCAGTCTTGATGTAATACTTCAAAATTTTAATAGTTTTTACAAAATATAGAGAGAGATTTATAAATTTTAAACATCCTAAATAAATTTACTGGTCAAAGAAGAAATCACAATGAAAATTTAAAGCTGTTTTATGGTAACAATAATGAAAATATTACAGACAAAACTTGTGGAAAGTGACCAAAGCGATGTTGCAAGGGTAATTTGTAGCATTAACATGCTTATATTGAAAATTTTTTTAACTGAATATTAATGAATTATGTAACTTTAAAAGTTCGACAAAAAAAAAAGTTCAACAAAGAGTAGAACACATTCAAAGAAAACAGGAGGAAGAACATAATAAGGATGAAAGCAGGACTCAGTGAAACATCACAAGATAAAAGAGAGAGGGTCAATAAAGACAAGTTGCTTTTTTTTTTTTTCAGGAATGGGTAAATACAACAGACAAACCTCTGTTAAGAGTGATGAAAAGAGAAAGACAGATGATACATATAAGCAGAATGAGGGCCCTTCCTGGTGGTGCAGTGGGTTAAAGCACAGCACTACCATGCTAAAGCCGCTGCAGCACAAGGTCGATCCCTGGCCAGGGAGGTGATCCACATGGCACAGCAGACCTCTCTTGTCTCGCCCACTGCTCTGCTCAGCAGTGTACTTTATCAATCAGCCTGTTCTGCCACTCATTCTGTGTCTGGTGAATCCTCTCACTGCCCCTGCACCTTTGGCCTGTACCCCAGTTCTGTATGCATAAATAAATAAATCTCTTTTAAAAAAAAAAAAAAAACAGAATGAGAAAGTGGACCTAACTACAGAAAGAGCCAAGATCAGAAAGATAAGAGATTATTACCTACAACTTAATGCCAATACTTTAAAAAATGCAAATTCTTTAAAGAAAAAAATATATATAACTTACCACAATTGAATCTAGAAGAAATAGAAAGTCTGAATAGTCCTATTAAAGAAATGGAATCAGTAATTAATCTTTCTATAAACAAAACAAAATATACCAGGCCAAAATAGTTTTATAATGCCAGAATAGTTTTATAGCAAGGGACAGATCTTTCAAGGAATAGATCACCAAAATCTTACGCAAACTCTTTCAAAGACTAGGAAATTAAAAGTCTCTAATTCTTTCTATAAGGCGAGTATAACAGGGTTTCTTAAATGTAGCATGACATGGGGAAGTTATGAGCCAATCTCTCTCATGAAAATAGTACAAAAATCCCAAACAAAATATTTGCAAACTATGGAAGATTTTAAGTGGCAACAAAGTTTTGCAAGTCCTAGGAGTCTATTTCTTCAGTTTGAATCGAGGCTGGCCTATGACATACTATGAGAATAAAATGTGCCAGATATGGCATTATGTGACTTTTTTTTTTAGTCTAACCTGCAAGAAATTGTGAAGCCTCCACTTTTGCATGGAATGTTATTTCCATGCAAACAAGCTTAAACCACACTCTGGAGGGGTCAAATGGATGAGAACCAAAGTATTACAACTGACAGGCTTGCATGAGTAAGACCATTCTTGTCTAGCCATCAGACATCTGTAGTCACGTGAGTCCAATTGAAACCAAACAAACTACACATCTAAACTCATTCCAAATTATCACCCACAAAATTGTGGGGGGCAGGGAAGTAGTGGTTTAAGCCACTAAGTTTGGGGTTAATTTATCATGCAGCAATAGAGAATTAATATCACAAATTAATACAACAGCACATAAAAAAGATAATCTGTCATGACAAAGTTAGAATTATCCTAAGAATGCAACAGTGACTTACTGAGAAAGATCTTGAAATGCAGTTTTCCCTAATAAAATATTAAAGGAGATACATGGAAAAAAAATGAAACTAGATCACTACCTCACACCATACACAAAAACCAACTCGAAGTGGATTAAAGACCTAGACATAAGAATGGAAACCATAAAATACCTGGAAGCAAAGATGGGCAAAACGCTATACGACATACACCTCAGTAACATCTTAGAAGATACAGCACCCAATGCAATGATAGTGAAGGCAAGGATAAATGATGGGACTACATCAAGTTAAAGAGCTTCTGTACAGCAGAAGAGACATTACAAAAAACAAACTAACATCCCACTGATTGGGGAAAAATTTTCTCATACAAAACTGGCGCTAGAGGATTGATCCAAAGATATACAAAGAACTGATGAAACTCAACAAAAATAAAATAAACAACCCCATCAGAAAATGGACAGAAGAGCTAAAAAGACACTTCTCCAAAGAGGAAATGCAGATAGCCAACAAGCATATAAAAATATGTTCAACATCACTCGTAATAGGGAGATGCAAATTAAAACCACAATGAGAT